TTCCTTCACAGATGCTGCCAGACCTGCTGAGCTTTTCCAGCAAGTTTGTTTTTGTTCCGAATGAAATATTTGTGGCGGGTTATTTTGTCTGAGATTTTCCAAATCGCAAGCACTGCTTGGCTGGAAGGTTACAGATTTTTGTTTTTCAGGCAGATCGTGTAATGGGCAGAAATTGCATTACTACAAGTGGAAGAGGTTGAATTGTTTCAAAGCCTTGAGATAGAGCCAAGTGTTTCAGACAATACTTGCTTTGTTATTATTTATTCCTGGAATGTGGGTGCTGCTGGCTAAACCAGCATTTGTCGCCTGTCCCAAATGGTCTTGGGGGAAGACAGCGGTGAACTGTCTTCTCAAAATGCTGCACTATGTGCTGTCAAGAGGGAGTTCCAGGATTTTGATTCAGTGACTGTGAAACAATAGCAATATGGTTCAAAGTTGTGATGCTGTGTGGCTTGGAAAGGAATTTATGGAGGCACAGTGTTCCAATGACTTTTCTGTCCTTGTCCTCTTAGGTAGTCAATAGAGGTGGAAATGCATTAGTTTTTCTCCCCTGGAAAGCTATTGTACAGGGTCTAGATTGAAAAAATGCCGGAAATGTTTAGAGCTATGCAGGGAGCAGCTATTCCAGAACCAAACAGCAAGGAGGCTAAGCTAGACCTTGTAATGAGCAAAACAATAGCATTAATCAATAACTTCAAGATAAAGGAGCCTTTTGGTGACAGCAATGAAAAGATGATAGAATTTCATGACAAATTTGATGTGGAGAAGTGTGGGATTGTGATCAAAAACAAAGTTGCTGGAAAAGCTCAGCAGGTCTGAAGCATCTGTGAAGGGAAAAAACAGAGTTAACATTTCAGGTCCGGTGACCCATCCTCAGAACTGATGGAGGCTGGGAAAATGTCAGTTTATATGCAGAAAATAGGGAGGTGGGTGGGGTAGTGAGTAAATGATAGGATAGAACCCGAAGAGAGAGGAAGACAGTTGGACAGACAAAGCAGTTGCTAATGATCAGGCTGGGAGGGTGAACAGTTGTTAATGGGGACTGTTAGTGACTACAACAGAGGGTGTGTAATGGCAGGCTATGTGGTAACAAGGCCTGATGTGTGGGGTAGGGGGCTGGGACATGGGAGTTTAGGCCCTAAAATTATTGAACTCAGTATTGAGTCCGGAGGGCTGTAGGGTCCCCAAGCGGAAAATGAGGTGTTGTTCATCCAGCTTGCGTTGGACTTCACTGGAACACTGCAGCAAGCCAGAGACACAGATGTTGGCCATGGAGCAAGGTGGTGCGTTAAAGTGGCAGGCAACAGGTATCTCAGGGTCTTTTTTGCAAGCAGAACGTAGATGTTCTGCGAAGCGGTTGCCAAGTTTATGCTTCGTTTCCCCAATGTAGAGGAGACCACGCTGTGAGCAGCGAGTGCAGTAGACTAGTTTGTGGGAAGTGCAGGTGAAGTGTTGCTTCATCTGGAAGGTATGTTTGGGCCCTTGGATACTGGGGAGGGAGGAGGTAAACGGTGTTGCACCTTCGCTGGCTACAGGGAAAGGTGCCGTAGAGCTGTGGGGAGGTGTTCGGGGTGAAGGGATTGTGGACCAGGGTGTCCCGGAGGGAACGGTCCCTGCAGAAGGTGGACAAGGTCCTCTAATCTGAAGAATTGCAGTTGGCAGTCATGTTGAACAGGTATGTTATGTCTGCCTTCATTTGATTTGATTTATTCGTCATGAGTACTGGAATACAAAAGTACGTGCAGTGAAAAGTGTATGATGTTGTCACACAAGGCGCCATCTTAAGTGCAAGTACCTAGGTACAGAATTGTAAGAACCGAGTGGAAAGAAAATACAAAGTTAAAGTTAAACATTTCACTAGAAAACTTCCCAAACACCCTTGAAAATCAAGAGCTGAATGGGAGGGAGGGGCTGAAAACAGCCATCATCAACAGGGAAATTGATTAGATCTGACTTGTCTCCAGGACTAGGTGGCCTGCACCTTAGGATCTTAAAAGAAGTAGCTACTAAACTAGTAAAAACTTTGGTTATTATCTCCCAAATTATTTCAGATATTCTAGGAGGCTCCCAATGGATTGAAAAGTAGCTAATGCGAGGCTTTTATTTAAAGAAAAAGAGAGGGAGACCAAAAGCATGGAACCAAACACCAGTAGCCTAATGTTTGTCATAGGAAAATGAATTCAGTATTTTGGGCGGTTATAGCTGGATACTTAGAAAATCACAATGTGGTCAGGCAGAGTCAACATAGCGTTGTGAATTAAAGATTGAGTAACTAATTTATTGAGTTTTTTTTTGACGTAACAAGCAAGGTGGGAGACAAGGAGCCTGTAGATGCAGATATTTTCTAATCAACCTGGTCACAGGCGTTATTACACATAGAGTAGGTGCAACGTGAACCATGGCTTCCTGGTTTAAATTGGGCATACTACCACTGCACCACAGGATCCCCCACCTGCAGATGTATACTTGGGTTAGCAAAAAACATTTGATAAGCTGCCACGTAAAAGGTTGCTGCATGAGATAAGAGCACATGGAGTAGACAGTAATATGTTAGCGTGAATAAAGGATTAATTAATTAACAAGAAGTGAAGACTAGGAATAAATGGGTCCTTTTCAGGCTGCCAAGTTGTAACTTTTGGATACACGGGAATAGACTTGGAGCCTCAATAATTTCTAATTTACATTAATGTTTTGGATGAAGTGACTTGAAGGGACTGAATGTATGGCAGCTAAGCTTGCTGCTGAAACCAAGATAAGTAGGAACGTAGACAACAAGGTGCAGGGCTGGATGAACATAGCAGGCCAAGCAGCATCATAGGAGCAGAAAGGCTGACGTTTCGGGCCTAGACCCTAGGAACGTAAGCAGTTAAGAAGATACAGAGAGTCTGTAAAAGGATATAAACAGGTTAAATGAATGGGCATACATTTGGCAGATAGAGTATAATGTGGGAGAGGTGAACTTTAGAATGGAAAGGTAGCATGGTGTACTATTTGAAAAGAGAAGTACAGAGGGATCTGGATGTCCTGATCTATGAATCGCAAAATGTTAGTTTGCAGGTATTAGAAGTGATTAGGAAGACAAATGGAATATTGCGATTGAATGGAAAGTGAAGTTATTCACAAGTAGTGAAGTTTTCCTGCAGTTGTGCAGGGCTTTGGTGAGACCACATCTGAAATGCTGTGTACAGTTTTGGTTCGGAAGACCAACTTTAAAAGATCAGTTGGTCTTGAGAGGTGGGTTTATCATCCTTGCTGTTTGATTCTGGAATAACATACTCCCTAGTGGGCTCTAAACATTTCGAGCATTTGGTCAATCTAGACCCTGTAACAATAACCTTCCTGGAAAAAACACTAATGCGTTTCCACTTCTATAGACCACCTAGAAGGACAAGGACAGCAAATGCATAGGAACACTGGTGTAGAAATTTAGAAAAATAAGATGTGCTCTTCATAGAACATATAATCTTGAGGGGACTTGGTAGCGTGGGTATTGGGATGGATATTTTCCCTTGGAGAAGAGACTAGAACTAGGGGATAGTGTTTCAGACTAAGAAGTCAGAGATGAGGCAAACCATTTCTGGTTGAAAGGCAAAATAGACTAGTAGGGCCTACTTCTGCTCCCAAGTCCAATGTTCCTAGAAGTGCCAACCAACTCTGTGGGATAAACATTTCGAAGTAGATTAATTCACAGAACATAGGTGTCGGGCAATAATGCTGGCCTTGTCACTATCACCAGTTGCTGCAGAGAGGTCAGTGGTGAGCTGAACCTTGACAGACCATAGGTGTTCTCACACTGTTGGGGAGGAAGTTTTAGCATTTTAATTAATCAACATTGAAGGAACGT